AGATAATATGGAATCTCCAAAAAATCTTCATGTAATCTTTTTATTTGAATTTTTTAATTTATTTATTTTTTCAAAATTTTCAAAATTGGTTGGATGGCGCTCGAATTTTAATTTTTAGCCAAAAATCTTTCTCATTTTATTCACTTTGGGCGGGAATTGGCTTCTATTTTTTGCTGATTTTTTTTTCATCTTTTTTCAAATAAATATCATTCTCTCTTTATATATTAATAGATTTTCATTAATAAAAAATTCTATTGTTAGTGTCAAAATGAAAATATATATATATATATAGAAAAATGTGTAAGTATTTCCATCATATACAAAAAGATAAAATTATTGAAGACGGAAATAGTTAGTCAATATGGCATTCCTCCTTGAGCAAATTATACCCGAGACGAGTTGCTCGTGAATTTAAATTCGTTGAGATTCTCGACAACATTTTAGACTCCATATGACACATTATTACATTTGGGACTTTTTACGTAATTTTCTGAACTATCAACTTAATTAGTTCGTATTCGTTAAAGCTCGAATCTGAGCTCGAGTATTGGGAGTTTGGGTTCGATTGTTTACGCTTTACAAATCTAGAACAATGAAGCTGCTTGTATTTTTGGTTAGTGATATTTTTTTTATGGGCCTAAAATGACACACACTCAAAAATGGACCTAATAACAAATTATGGCCCATACAATATCCATAACATGACAAACCCACTTAAAATGGACTCAAAAACGAATTATGGGCCATATAATATCCTTAACATGACAAACCCACTTAAAATGGACCCAGTAACGAATTATGTGGCCCATACAATATCCTTTACACCAGGGCGTGGGCTTTTACACTACACCTGTCACCCGCCATAAAACAGGTTACCAATGTAGAAGAAAATAACTACTTTGAAGGTTGATAACTAAAAGAAAAGAGAAAAATAGAGCAGAAAATGAAAAGATTAAAAAAAATTGTAAACGCCCACCGTGGGGCTCGAACCCACGACCACAAGGTTAAGAGCCTTGCGCTCTACCGACTGAGCTAGACGGGCTTGTTTATTTGATGGGTCAAGCAATCAGCTTTTTTCAGACCTCTTTTTTTTCCCCAAGATATGTACGTACTAATAATGATTAGTGTTAGGACTAAGGAGAAATGTAAAATTGTTAATTGTAAGTGAAAGTGTGAAACACAATTTTTAGATGAATTATTCAGTTGAACTCTTCATTTATCTCCGGTGTATATATATATATATATATATATTCAAACATTAACAAGACCAGCAAAAAAAAGGATATATAAAAAGAGTAAAATTTTAACGGTTAATTGGTAAATAAACTTTTAACCTTTTTGCGTTTGGCAATTTTATCCCAATTTTTGGGTAATTGCAATATAATTCGACATCAGTTTACTTATTACAAATTTGGGTAGAGAGTGATTGATTTTAGGGATTTTTGTGGATCGATTTTGTGTCCAAGTCTTCCATTGACACGGGTTTTTATGTCATCCACGTAGCAAGTTGACAATTTCCACGTATTTAATGTATATCAACGCACAAAGCTAAAAATTCCACGTCAATGTAAGCTATCGGTGATGATTCTCCTCCTAGATCTGGAGTGAACAAGTAAATATAAGCTCCGATCTGTTCGAACCGCCTTCAAATCGACCAGTTTTTTGAAGGTCCAACCGGTTTTAAGTTCGACTTGCAATAAGTAAATTGAGGTCAATATTATATTACAATTACCCAACGTTTGGGATAAAATTATCAAACACAAAAAGGTTAAGGCTTATTTAGCAATTAATCTTTTTATAAACAAATAAAGGTTACTGTTCACCATTATTGAGATTGATTCCCAATACACCTACATATCACCCATGCTAATAAAATTAAATATACAAAAAAAAAAAAAAGATAAAAGAAAAAGTAGCATCTTCCTTTTCCTATTTACATAATTCTTTAGTGTTTGCATGGATGGTAGCAATGAATTCACTTCAAATGCTTGATAGGAGAGTTTATTCGATGACCTTTCATATTGCTCAACATCCCACATGGTGGCATACATAAATAATAAAAGAAAATAATGGAATCTTATCGATATTTAAAACTTTTTGTAAATTAAGTCAAGTAATAGGAAGATCCATGTTTTAAATACCGGTTCGTACCGGCCGGTATTACCGGTAATACCGGATACCGGTGGTCCGACCGGTACATTTACACTCAAAATACCGTTTTGGCCAAAATACCGGTTTCGTACCGAAAAATACCGGTTTTACCGGCAAATACCGGCCAAAATACCGGTCAGAATACCGGTTTATGCCATTTTTTTTAAAAAAAATATATTTTTAATAGATTTTTATTATTTTATTTATATAAATTGAAATTTCTACACTAACTTTAATATGTTTATATTGTTATTAGATGTTAATTTATTTTAGTATTAATTAAAGTTAGTTTTGTATATTATTTATATAATAATAACAAATTAATTTAATATTTATTAAAACCGGTAAAACAGACGGTAATACCGGTCGTACCGGTAATACCGCATACCGGTCGCTACACCGGTATGACGACCGGTACGGTTTTTAAAACATTGAGGAAGATATACTATTTTATATTTAGCTAATAAAAAATTGATGTATGAGGCGTCATAACCAATGTTTTAAATACCGTGCCGTACCGTACCGGCCGGTATTACGGCTAATACCGGATAGCGGTGGTCCGACTGGTATGATTACACTCTAAATACCGTTTTTGCCAAAATACCGTTTTACACCGGTTTCATACCAGAAAATACCAGTTTTACCGGTCAAAATACCGGTTTAAGCCAAAAAAATTTAAGAAAAAAATATTTTTAATGTATCATTATTAATTTTTTTATATAAATTGAAAGTTTTACACTTCATTTAAATATATTTACATTGTTATTAGATGCTAATTAATTTTAGAATTAATTAAAGTTAGTTTTGAACATTATATATATTGTTATAATAAATTAATTTAATATTTATTAATGGTAAAATAGACGATAAAACTGGTCGAACCGGTTGAACCGCGTACCATTAGCTCGTCCGGTATAATGATCGGTACGGTATTGAAAACACTGGTCATAACCGCCAAGTGGGTTGGTCCATCATTTATTTCATTGAAAATGCATTACAATAAGTTGCTTATGTTATTTTTAGAGTAAGAGATTACATTTGGAAGTATATAAAATGCGTTAATCTACTTATTAGGTCTGTCTAAAAACGCTGAGCCTACGTGGCTACTTCTGGTGTTTCGAAATCCTACTTGGCGAAAAATCAAGCTTCGTAATTAGGTTTGAACAAATAATATTGATATATTAGAGCATCTACAATGCATTTGGTCTAGTTTTGTCTATTTGGCATGTAAACAAACCCAAGTCTTTGATTACATGGATAAAACAATGTAAAATTGATAAAATTCACTTCAATGCAAGGAGACTAGGTCTATACTTGAGTCTAAAATAGACTTAAGTAGACCGGGTCACTTTTTCTGGCTACCACATCAGCAGGACTCAGTTTACATTTATTTGCATTGGAAGATATATTTTTTTATACCGAGTCTATATCTTAGGTGGCATATAATTTTTGTGGTTGAACCAAAGCATTGTGGATGCTCTTAATAATTAATAATATATGTTCAGACATTCCATAAATATTATTTACTTAACTTAGATATTTTAATATCACTCGTACTAATATAACCCTTTAATTCTTTATAATTTTACAAGTGCTATATATCCCTGACTTTTGATTTGCTTCCTTCAAATAAGCTATTGATATTTTTCCATTTGAATTTTATAGAAAATGAATTTCGCACAACATCCTTGATTTCCCACTAATTATTAGAGTTGTATTTTACATTAGAGTTGTATTTTACTTTTTATATTTTACTCATTATTTTACCATGTATAAGTTGTTATTAAGTGAATAACAACTCTTTACTTTCAGCACTTTAGATAGGTATAAATAGTCTTCACATCTCATCTTGTAACCCTAATTTTTCATTCTACTCAGTTCATCCGCAACTTTACTTTCTCTCTCTATCTCTCTATCTCTCTATCATCTTCCTTCATCTTTTCTTTGATTATCAGTGAATCTATACACAAACATGGTATCAGAGGTCACAAACCTCTGATTTGTGACTACTACTCGCTTCCGCACACTCGATTTTCGTGATTTTTGGCCCTCGATTTTCATTTTCTCTCTGAAACCCTAGATCTACTTCTGTTTTCGATCGATCTCATGGCTACCAGTATCAATCCCACCGATGACATCTCGTCCCCGTACAATCTACATGCTAGTGACAATCCTGGAGCTCTCATCGTCGCCGAGCTCTTTACCGGCGACAACTACGTCTCCTGGAGTCGCGCTATTCAGATGGCTCTGAGCGTCAAAAACAAGGCAGGTTTTGTTGACGGTTCCATCATACCTCCATCGTCGTCTGGTAACTCGTCTCTATATCTTTCTTGGCTGAGGGCTAATAATCTTGTCCTATCATGGCTGTTGAATTCTGTTGCTAAGGATATCCGCCAATCTTTGTTGTTTTTTACAACTGCTAAAGATGTTTGGGACGAAATCAAAACTAGATATGCTTTAAGTTCTGGTCCTAGGGTTTTTCAATTGGAAAAATCACTAAATACCATTGATCAAGGGTCTTTGTCTGTAATTCAGTACTATAATCTGTTTAAGTCTCTCTGGGATGAGTATGTTACATATAGACCTCTTTTCAAATGTACTTGTGGTGCTCTCGTTCACTGTACTTGTA